TGTACAGAGTTGCGTGTGTGTAAGTATGTGCTTGGAAGGGGATGCATTGTAACGTGTGTAACATGAATAAAAAATTGTAATAAAACTATGCCTAAGTAAATGGAGAGAAAGAGAGAGAGATACATAACGTTCGTGCACAAGGGATGGTGAATTACCGTAAGGCTCAACGCTCGGCTCGCAATCTCTATTCTCTCGTCGGGCATTTATCCCTCCGGCCGCTGAAGCGCGCGGTTGGCTTTACGGACCGGGGACCGCCTTGCGAGTCGTGCCTTCCTAGCCTCGGCGGCTTTCGCGGGCTACGTCGTGCAATCGCGACACATTTTTTTCCAGGGCGCGGGCCTTTTCCCGTGTTATCGTGGCCTTTCGCGAGGACAGATTTCGGGTGGCATCGCGGGTGGACACGCGTGACGGGAGGCCGTTCGGTCTAGGATCCGGAGTATCCACGTCGGATTTATCCCGCCGATCGTTCCGTCATTGTGAAAAGAAGGAGGAGGACGCGTTGCGAATTCACGGCGTAGCCTGCAAACGCCCTGGGACTACTCCCAGCTGTTTATCTGGGCCATGCACAGCCATACTGAATTCAAGCGCTATGCTCGACCTGGGCACTCCGGGCAGTACCGCGGATAGCTCGGTAGCTCCCTGCGTCACGTGATCGCTGCATATATGGATATATGTATGTACACACACAACGCCGCATGCGACGCACACGCTCCCACACGTGGAAGATAAACAGAAATGTAAATATGAACCGGCCGAATTTGGTGACTTTCGATTAGTTGATAATTGTTGTTAAAGGTCACCGATGACAATTATGTAACGTACAGAAGTGGTAAAACAAATATGCGAAACGTTCGTTAAGCCTAATATTATTTGTGCCTGATCAAGCATCGCGTGCAAACCATGAGGCAGTATACAGTAGCGTTACTGGTACTTGGAGTATTAATACTCCAAGGGTTTTCCCTTGAACCATCCGAGCCACGTATCGGTAAGAGTTAATTTTTCGTTTCGATGCGCCACTCAATAATCTACAAAATATTTGAGCTTGACCTCACGACTCACGTTTGAATCTTTGACTTTTAGCCATTATAGGGGGTGGCATTGGCGGTGCGTCCGCCTCGCATTTTCTCACCGAATTGCTTTCCGGAGCTTTGGACGTCGACTTGTACGAGGCGAGGACTATCGGCGGACGATTGGCGACCGTCGAAATCGACGGGGATGAAGTCGAGGCTGGCGGTACAATTATACATCCCAAGAACATGTACATGCAGAAATTTGTTGAACTCTTGGGTAAGTACGGACAGCAACTTTTCGTTTCTTTCTCTCGATTATATTAATTGCATGTGCGGAGAAACGTTATTGACCAGATTTCACGGATTTTTAGGGTTGGAAAAGAAACCTCCCAGCAAGGAGAAGATGGGCATATGGAACGGAGACGAATTTGTATTCATAGAAAGTGATTGGTCCGTGATATCGTTGTGGAAGTTATTTTACAGATACGGCTATCAACCGTATACACTCCAGAGGTATTTAAAGATTATGGAATTAAAAAAATAAACGATAAAAAAAGGAAAAATAACATACGCTTTCTTTGAGCAGACATATAAACAGCATGATAGAAGATTTCACAAAGATATACGATCTGCAAGATGCCGGGCAGTCTTTCGCCAACGTCGAAGCGCTGCTGTCAGCTATGAACAAGGATTTCCCCAAGTTATTGCATACGTCCACGAAAGAATATTTTTTGCAGATGGATTACTCGGAGAAACTGATCGATGAATTAGTGGAAAGCGCTACTGTGGTGAATTACGGTCAGGACGTCACCGATATCCAAAGTTTCGTTGGTAGTATATCTTTAGCGGCAAGTGGTGATTTATGGTCTGTTAAAGGTGGAAATAAAAAGGTAGTTATTAAATCTGTTATCGATCTTAACTGCTCACAAAATATATGTAAAGTACGAGCTTAAATTTTAGGTGCCGGAGCAACTCATTCACAGAAATGAGAAAGTAAAAGTAATACCGAGTCGTGTCACAAAGATTCGTAACTTACTAAACCACGATGATTCGCACCGTTATGAAGTGACCTACGTAAATACAGGTGCGACAGGAAAATGTAAAATTTGTCTGACAAATGTTTAAATATGTGTTAAAAAAAATAAGATGCGAATTATGCATTCCAGATAACGCGATAATGACATCTACTTATGACATCGTAATTATCGCTACACCACTCACAAGAGACCAAGAATTCCAAATAGAATTTGTAGATTTGCCGGACCTGGTGTTTCCGGGAAAGTATCAGACAACGTATGCGACGTTTGTCAAAGGGGATCTCGCACTAAAGTACTTTGATTTGCAAGAGGCTGTGGATAGCATTTTATGTTGCAATCCCAATAAAACGAAGATCAGTTCGATCGGAAAAGTGGATTCCGTTGATGGTTCAATTAAGAAAAATTCATCAGTCTGGAAGATCTTCAGCAGGACACCTGTGGAGACACGTCTTCTAGACGTTATGTTTTCTGACGTACGAAATTTGCTATAATTATTTCAGATAGGATACAAGAGGGAGACTTACTTAGATGTGTATAGTAATAATTTTCTTTTTTACATCAAGGTTATTGAGAATACACAAATTGGTTGGAAAGCATATCCCCATTACTCGACAAATATGAAGCTTGGTAACTTTAAGCTGCACGATGCTCTGTATCATGTCAATGCAATTGAGTGGGCCGCAAGTGCGATGGAAATGAGTGCGATAGCTGGAAGAAACGTCGCTATTTTGGCGAACAAAGATTTTCTTCAAAAATCCTCTTCAAAAATGTCTAATGAAGAGGTTCTTAAAAGTTCACCTAAAAAACGTACGGCTGGGGAATTGTAATGCCATTATTATTCTTGCCGTTGATATTGTTAATAGATTTTATATTGTGTAAAACCTCGGAGATTATTTTTGTAGTCCATTTTTGTAGTACATAAAAGAAGTTACGAAATAAAGTTATAGATATAAAATATACATATTACATACTAAGTCAAATATAAAAAATAGTTACATTATCTGTGATTTTTTTTTATTTACTAACACGTCTGTCCAGCGAGCTTTGTCTGTCACTATGTATTCCACAATAGAATTTTCATTATCATAAATATATGCATTATGATAAAATAATGTTAAATGTAAAAATAACTAAGTAAGATTAATTCCTCATGAATAACGTGTTAAATAGCGCATTTTCTGCTTTAAATTATTATTCATATTATTTAAAATTTTATACAATTTTTTATAAAATTTCATGTTGGATTTTTTTTTTTTTTTTTTACTTTTAAAAGCGTAGCAGAAAGTGCAGGAAGTGCGAAGAGTGTAAAAAAAGCCGGTAGGTAATGTTGGTTTCCACATGTATAGATGAGCAGTGCAAGTATAGGTATCGTAGGGAGGTAACACTCGTTGATTAGGTTGATAATGCCTCTCGAGAGGGGTGGCTATTCGTGAAGAAAAAAAGAGAAAACAGTAAACAAAAGAGGAGACAATTGTCATGCAAGAACGGGGACAACGGCGAGCGCCGGTCAGCTGCGACCGGCCCGGCCGATCGCCGACGTTGTTGAAAAACCGCGGCGCGGTCTGATCGGCGTGACTGTCAAGTGACTGACAGTCCGTCCGCCTAACCTAACCCGCGTGAGCGCCAAGGACGGAAAAAGTTTCTCCGGGCGGCGTGAAAAATGTGATTTCTCGCGCCTCGTGTCTCGCGTTTACGCGAGGACCGGATAGGCAGGGAGTGGACGAGAGATGGAGAACTACTCTGTGCGGATCAATTATCCGCAGACCGCCCGTGGGGATGCCGAGGAGTCGCCCGTGCCCCAGGGCCCCCAGGATGCCCAGCCGAAGCAGCAGCACGCGGATCACGTCAGGAAAAGGGAGGACGTGATCGTTCTGACGAGCGACACGAAGGGCGGTCTGTTCAATCCCCGAGCCCTCCTCTTTCTCACCCTGTGGTACGTCTTCAGCGGGTGTACTCTGTTTCTAAACAAATACATACTGTCCTACATGGAAGGTGATCCCACCATCCTGGGTAAGCAAACGATCGTTTCGAAGCCTCGAGGGCGATATCACGCAGTGATACGGCTATCTGTGTAGAAATAAAAAAAAATTCATAGTTGATAGTTGACATGATGTCATAGTATCTTCCTATCGGTGTGATATCAGTATTAAAACGTTCAAATATTTGATATGTCAGCTGCTAACGTTTCATAGGTTCCCTTTTGCATTATGCGTACACATTTTTAAAAAATATCGTTCTGAATTGCAGGTGCTTGCCAAATGTTGATGACCGCAATATGCGGATTGATACAAATGTACTTTCCCTGTGGTATGTACAAAGCTAGTTCGAGATTGATGAGACCGCCAGGATTTTACAAGCACATGACACTGGTAGGCTGCACAAGGTTCGCCACAGTAGTCTTAGGTCTAGTATCGTTAAATTATGTAGCTGTAAGTTTCACAGAAACCATAAAGAGTAGCGCACCTCTTTTCACCGTCCTCATCAGCAGGTATTTATTAGGTGAGCGTTTACGCATCTTTGTTCCAGTGCAATCTATAATTATAAAAATTCAGCTTTTGGCAATTAGTTTGAGCAATTAGAATTGTTCACACACAACCAACCGATCGTGTTTTTAGGGGAACATACAGGATTATATGTAAATCTATCTTTAATACCTGTAATGGGTGGACTGGCACTGTGTTCGATCAATGAAATTAGTTTTGATCTTAGAGGGTTTATCGCCGCTATGGCCACAAACGTAACCGAGTGCTTGCAGAACGTTTACTCGAAAATGTTGATCAGCGGTGATAATTTTAAATATACGTAAGTAGTAAATATCGTACGAATAGGTAAGACTGTAAACCATAAAAGAGAGAAAAAGAATGTCATATTATTTTTTGCAGACCAGCAGAACTGCAATTTTATACCAGTCTAGCGTCAATTGTGGTACAAATACCGGTGTCGATATTGTTGGTCGATCTACCTACCCTGGAGCATTCCATGAGCTTTAAATTATTTGCGGCATTCCTTCTCAACGGAGTATTCTTTCACTTTCAAAGTATTACCGCGTATGTACTTATGGATTATATCAGTCCCGTTACACATAGGTATGTAATCGTCCTTTTGTGCATGTAATCGAAACTGCATTTCCCGCTTAATTCTAACGCACAATTTTCTAATATCGTAGTGTCGCCAATACCGCAAAGAGAGCTTTCTTAATATGGCTCTCCGTTCTGCTGTTTAACAATCCCGTAACGGGATTATCGGCGCTCGGCACTTCCTCCGTCATCGTGGGAGTGTTGCTGTACAATCGGGCACAGGAATACGATAGGATAAATAGAACGAAGTTACGATATTCGTCGAAGATCAATTTGCAGTAGGACAATTTTTTCAGTCTACAATGATTCGTGCGTACGGGAGGAGAAACATGTGTCGCTGCATCAAACATATTGCATTGGCAGTACAAACAATATCCCGTTTTATACAGCAGTATTCTGTTCAGTGGGACGCAAGACAGTACATGTTTGTAGAATTAAGACGAAGTACAATCAATGGAAATCATGTTATGTTGAATTTTAGTGATTGCCAGTGAATTTTTGTGATCTGTTAAAAGCAATTAGTTTTTTTTTTTCGTTCGCAATCTGTAATATATAACATTAATTAGTTATCACTACGAAATAGAAACAATTTATATTGTTTCCAAACTTGCATACATCTATTTACACGTTCAGAAACATCTGACAGGTATGATAAGCAAAAAAAATCAGGACAAGTGATTACGTGTGTCAAAAAGCATCTGATTATTGCTGTATTATACAAGTGTTCCTAATGTAAATGTGAGAACTGTGGGAATGTATAAAAGAGTTTTATAAAAATAAACTTTCTTTATATACCTACTGATACTGCAGGTGTTCGATATTTATAATATAATTAGTATACAAATTTATAATACAATTAGTACAAATACTTGCTATTACTTTCGCGGTTATCTAATTACGTTCATTAATTCATTGACAAGCATCTAACGCTTGTTTGATATCGGCTTCGAGATCCTGCTCAGTTTCAATTCCAACACTTAGACGAATTAATTGATCGGTTATACCTAATTTTGCTCGTACATCTTCCGGTACGGACGCGTGCGTCATTATAGAGGGCAATTCGGCTAGCGACTCGTAACCGCCTAAGGATTCAGCCAGACTGAAAATTTTCAATGCTTTCAGAAAACGCATAGAATCCCCTTTCAGATAGAAAGAGAATACTCCGCTGTGTCCTGATGTTTGTCTAAGCGCGAGTTCATGTTGTTCATGTGACGGGAGATCTGTAACGTAACAACGCACGCATTTTATCTTGTGAATATTTTAGCATTGCATTGATTATTGGGACATTAATTATAGATAACTAGAGTATGCAACAGATAACAAAAGTATACTTCTATTTTAACACGTGATAAAGAGGAAGATAAGAAATTGTACATACATGGATGTAACACTTTTTCAACGCAAGGATGAGATTCAAGAAACTTAGCCACGGTCAAACAATTCTTCATGTGTTTCTGCATACGGAGTTCAAGCGTTTTTAAGCCACGATTCACCATAGCGCAATCGAATGGTGATGGAACAATACCCATGGCTAGATACAAAAAAGAGATATTATACAAAATCTTCAAATGCATGGCTCGGAAAAATTCTGATTTACACTGATTTACCATTTTGTAGAAATCGCAATCTCTTCGCGAGATCGTCCCGGCGCGTAATCGCGGCGCCCATTATAATATCAGAATGTCCGTTCATATACTTTGTCAAGGAGTACATGACTATGTCTGCACCCAGATCAAGAGGCTTCTGTTAAAACACAATATATTGGTTATACTTTTTTTTATGTTGAATACGTACAGTTCAATATAATTTTTCTGAAAAATATGCCTATGAAACTTACTTGAAAATAGCACGTGAGAAAAGTATTGTCAACTACTAGTATAATGTCTGGACGAGATTTCAAGCTGTCAGCGATAGCTTTAATATCTGTAAGCTTCATCAGAGGGTTTGTCGGACTTTCTAGCCAAACCATCTACAACAGAACAAGTTACAATGCAGAAAATAAACTAATATGATATTTAAAAACTATATAATGATATGTTTAAAATACAATATCATTCATATCTAAAATAATTTTAGATAATACAATCATTACTTTTATTTTTTATCTAACCTTGGTATTTGGCTGTATGGCATCTATAACGTTTTGTACATTAGTCGTGTCAATGAAAGAAAATTTTATGCCTTTACTACACTTCTGGATGTAACGATTTGTCCCGCCGTAGAGATCGTCCCCAACGACGAGATGATCGCCTGTCTCTAATAAAGAAATGATGACAGTCGTAGCACCTAATCCGGAAGAAAAGCAAAAGCCGTGTTTGCCATTTTCTAAAGCAGCCAGGCATGCTTCCAGTACGTTACGCGTAGGATTGCCGCTTCTGCCATACTCATATCCCTGAAAATAAAACAGTTAAAATTAAAACGTCAGTATGCAAAGTCTTCTTTTCAAACTTGTAAGTATTTTTTAATTATTATATCCAAAAGAATAAAGTTGTCTGCATGTTCTCTGTAAAAAATTCTGTAAAAGTGGAGATTTGATAAGCATAGCAATCGAGTTGCGAATTGTTATTTGACATTTGAACTGTATATTTATATTCACCTCAGACTGATATGGAAAAAGACTAAAATTTTTCCAAATGCTTCAATATATAGAAATATATTTACTCTGACAATATAGCACATTTGACTCGTATTTGCCTATTAAATGTCATTTATTTAACTATTCAATTATCATTTCCTTTCCTTTCTTCATTCAATTTTTCGATATAAGTTAATTTATAAAAAAAAATATAATTTTATTTTTTCAAATTATATATAATTTTTAATTTAATTAATAGCTAAAAAAGTTTAATGCAGTTTCTGCTAGCTGTAATTGATAGTAATTGGTTGAGTAAGAGGAAGCAATTGCTAAGAACTATAAATAGCTGAATTTTGATGAGTCATATGTTTAGTTTTTACTTTGTGGTGCCCTGGAGCATCCTGTTGGAAAGTAGTGCTCATGACCAAAGGTGGCACAACTGCGCGATGATTCCACTGCTTAGGATTTTGTCCAGCATGGATTGCTGTCGTTGCAAAACCTTTCTCTGTTGAAGACATTGCCTGCCTAGTAAAAATTTTTGCCATTTCAGTATCAAATATTAATTAAAAAGTATAATCTATTATTGATTTGTTACAATTAATAGTAACATTGTTCGTTATTAATTTTATAATTATATATGAAATAATAATATATATTAATAGAATTATACATGTAATTATACATGTAGTTAATATATTAAAAGTATTAATGTATAACTATAACAATCTGTTTCTTAAGTTTATTTAATTGCGAACAAAGAGTTGAACGTATACATATTAATATATAATTATAACAATCTGTCTCTTAAGTTTATTTCACCGCGAACAAAGAGTTGAACGCGTATAACACATCTGGGCTACGTTCGGGGAGCGCGCTATTAGCGCTTTTGCTTATTCTATCCTTGTTTTATACCTGATAAGCGATAAAGATAGAATGATGCAATAGCGCTAATAGCGTGCTCCCCGAACGTAGCCCTGGTATACACGATAACAACATGCAATTTATGAGATAGCGCATACGATAAAAAAGGCTGCGAAACGCGATAAGATGCGATAAGTCACCGATAATAAAAATAATTAAAGTAGCTTTTCAAACTCAAATTAGGAGAAATTTTATTTGTACAAAGTGCTAAAAAAGGAAAAGAAATATTCTTTCTGTCCAGAATTGAAGGGTTCTTTTATCAGACAACTTTCCGACCGCTCGTTCGTGGAAATTAAAAATGTAGGTAGGTGCGAGCACTCTCCGTTCGCGACGCGATCGATTTTCTCAGATTTTCTGCGCTCCGTTCCGCTCGGACTCGTCGGTGCAAGAAAATGCAGCTGATTAAGGGGACCGTTTTCTTGGCAGCAAACTTACCGATGATGAAACGGGTTTGCCGAATGATGGATTTATGAGCTTCTCCTTGAGAATTGTCGAGAAAATTTAGATCACGTTAGAGTTGATATAGTTTAAGAAACGTCGTCCGAAATGGTCCAACCAGTCTAACCACACTGGCGACGAGCAATTTATATGCCTCCCACCAGTTTTCCACCGCGTTGACAGACACGTGGCCGGACAAACTACAAAATAAAAGATGGGCAGCACTCTCACGTGTTCTTATGGAGCGGGAGGATGCTCCCGATGGAGCGGATCACGCGGAAGCGGAATGCTGAATTACCGGATCACCAATCACGGGATCGTTCTGATAGAACCCTTTCGAAGATTCCGTCGAAACGATCCTGTGATTGGTGATCCGCTCGTTCCGCTACCGCGAAATCGCTCCATCGGGATGCACCCTCACTGTGTCTGCAGGCAAAACTCGATTACGCAATAACATTTGATATATCGCAATATGTTGCAACATGTCGATAATATCGATAAAGTATCGATTTTAATAATTTAAAACGCATAAATTGTAACATAATTTCCAGTGTAGTTTGTTTTAAAGCATAATATACATATAAGAACGTAATTAGCAAAGAAATTGAGTTATACAAAATTTCAATGATTTTCCAAGAATTGAGGGAAATGAAATATCGAATACTCTTAGAACATATAAGACTTCAAAATTGCAAAAATTCAAATTCCTGAAAAAACAAATATTGAAATATACTTAACAATCGAAGATATCTGGGTAAACAATGGATCTATGAGATATCATAATTATTTATAATATTCGTACGTGCGTAATATAAAATTTTAATCTTCTCTATATTTATAACCGTAGAAATAGGTAATATATTTCGGGATGGCAGTGTGGTCTTTGTGGTAAAGTGCCAGACTCATTGTTGTAAAATGGTTTCCATTATCTACCATATTAGGAAGACAATACACACGATTGAAAGATTATATCCGCGAAAAGATCGTGTCGTAAAATGTATGAAAATGCCAATATAATTTAGCAATTTTATCAAGCGATGATTCATAATTTTGCGCATCAAAGTTCGTAATTCCTAGCACTTATTAAAATATGTGCACTTCCTTGTTGCATATATGTGCATAATATTTGCAGTTGTATTGATTCATTGTTTAAACTTATTTATTAATTATAAATACAATAAAATTATCAATGTTGTAATTCTACGCTAGATATCTGAAAAACCCAAGTGCGGATAATAATATGATATCAAGAGAGTGGAGAAAATGGAACGATAAAATAGATTTCTCTGATAGAACAGATAAAGCAGGTATGTATGATCAGACTGGTACGAATTTATGGTAGATGAAGATAAATTTACGTTTGCTTTATTTTATTGTACTTTAATATCGCGTAATACTTGATGTAATAAATATATACATGTGTACGTGTATGTGTATATGAGTGGGTGTGGATGTGCGTGCGTGTGTATTCATGTAATTGTTGATTGTAGCATTATATTCGTGGGCATAAGTACCTCTAAAATCAATGGTCATGTAATAGGACAGCATGTAACAATAAGACATACGAAATCTTAAGAATCTCAATCGGTGAGACGGTAAGACTAATCGTAGAAAAAAATTAGTTAGAACCGTAGAAAATTGTGATATAGAGAGTGTTAATAATCGGAATAATGATCTAATTCATCAGGTTCTCTACAGTATATATCATCTTCTGAATAGTCCGTATGATAAAAAAATCCAGCTCATCCACGAAACATATATCTGACAAATCCGCAGAAAAAGCCACTGAAATGGAATTAATTCCGGGAAGCGAATTTTTTTTGTCTGTTTCGGAGGGTCATGGGCTCAAATCCTAAAACTGGATTTTTGGGATTCTAATCCTGCCATGACCTCCAAAACAGACAAAAAAGAAATCGCTTCCCGGAATTAATTCCATTTAAATGTCTCTATTAATGGCCTATAGTTTACACTGATCACTATTGATATGCGTATTAAATATAACTCTGATTATTGGCTGAATCAGTTCAAATATACTATTTGATACGCGTATCAAGAGATCAATGTAAACTAGGCCAATTTCTGGGCTATTATAATAGCCCTCCCGGGCTAGACAAATCGATGTCATATATCTTCAATAGCGGAGGCAGTCTCTCTTGACCTATTTTTTTCTTAGTGAGAATTGCTGTTCCTCCAACGATCATCTTCAACATCACGTTATTAGTTCGACTGCTACAAACGTCTTTAGCAACCTCAAGAGTGGGGTCCTTAATATTCCTACATCCGGAGAGATCTAATAATTGTAATTCGGGCGAGGATTGGATGAGCGTTGTCATGCCCCGATCGCTAAATAGACGGCATCTTCGGCACTCCAATTCTTTTAAGCCACATACGTTTTTCAAGCCATCGTCAGTAATTTGATGCAGGTAACTGACTTTTAATTTTTCTAGTCTTACTAACGTAGCAATAGCCGTTAATCCGACATCGCTCACGTTGTAGCAAGCTGTTGGATATAGAAGGATAACTTTAAAATAGGATTAAAAAAGTGGCAAACATATAATGTATATATATATATACATAATTGTAATTTACCTGTAATGTCTACGTTAGTAAGCTGCTGACAATGTTGTACTAAATCGGTAAGGAAATCGTTCGATACCTTAGGATTGCACGCGATTTTTAAAACTTGCAGATTGACAAGGTGAATTAAATACAACATATCCGCCGTTTGTGTGAAGGGAAAGTGTCCATCGAGCTCCAATGTTCTTAAACTTTTACAATGCTGACCAACAACTTCCAATGTGTGTTTAGATATCCTGGGACATTTGATTATCGCGAGATGTTTCAAATTTTCGAGCTTCTTTAGTGCCTGTACGTGACAATATCGATGTATCACCGATCGAAAAGTGAAAAGTGAACAACAATTGTCTATTTACCATTGAAAGGTGAGTGTCCTGAAGATAGTCGCAATTTTCCAATATAATTGTACGCATAGTTTGCTCTGGCAAGCCTAATAAGCATTTGTCCAATAAAAAGTAATTTCTAGTTATCTTGAGATATTCCAAGTTTTGATTTCGCTCAAAGAGACACTTTAACTCGTCATCACACTCAACTACTGACCAACGTAAGCTAAACTTGGTTAGGTTTCTATAATAATTTGCTAATGTACGTATATCTGATGACTTGAAAACTCCGTAGTGAATGTCGATACTCGTAAGATTAGGGCAAAGTTCCCCGATAACGATAATCAACGTGCTTTGATCATGTGAATTCGAAACAATCCCGAAACTTAGTATTAATCGCGTTAAGAATCTGCCACATTTAAGCAATATTTTACGAAGTAAAGCCAGATTTAGACTGCTGATGTTCGTAAAACCCCATGTATCCTCTACATGTCGCGAGACATCCAATGTCTTTATCATATACCAGGAATCTTGGCTTAAATCTCTCCAGCGCTTGCAAACTGTAAATATAGTAGGAGGATAATGTACAAGGTCGCGATATGTATAAAATCTTCAACATACACACACCATGCGTTTGAATAAGATACTCGCCTATCTCTATGCGGATTCTATCTATAATTGGCAAAAACAGGAAGACGTGCCTCAAGCAATCGTCGTTGAGGATATGTATGGATATATTTTTGGTGTCATTCAATTCAATCTCCTTCTCCGACTTCTTCGCCTCGGTGTCGAACATTAATGATGGCATCTCTCTCATCTGAGATTCGAGAGCCTCCACCTAGATCGTAAATCACATGTTATATATATATGTGAGTTATCAACGTATCGTACTTAAATACATACCTGATTTTGACAGATGTTACTGTCGCATTTACACGGTGGACCACATTTGTTGCTCTTCTTAACGCAACCACAAATGCGTGAGCAACAACTCCCTTTACAACTACAACCAGTCTTTTTAACTGGACTTTTACAGGCTGTTGCCTGTGGAGCGAGAGGAGGCCTCTCACGTAAATAATAACCAGACTTATTTTTACCCACATTTTGGATTTCTTTTGAGCCGCTAGAAAGTTAGATGGAGAATAATAATAAAGATTATATTAATTGTAATGGAGAGAACAATAACTATATTGTAATAACGCGGTCGAACTTTTTAACAGAACCAAAACAGACATGCGACTTCTCGTTTCTCGCTTACCTGGGCAACATTTTGCGGCGACTGATGACAATAACGTCTCGGCGGCCTCGATAACGGATTCGACTTGCGATTCGAGCGCGATTTAGCGAAAGGTCGCCTTTGTTATCGTTTCGCTTGGAACGGTACGAAGCATTCACATGTGGCAAACATTTGGGCCTGTCCGGATGGATTTGTATAGCCGCATCAAGTATACGCGCAGAGAAATCAGGCCGATTGCAGGTCTAAAATGAACAACACAACATATTATCAAGGTGCCGGTTCTAAAGTTTTCCTTTTTCTTGTGAAATGATATAGATTCGGACGTGTAAAAACGATCAAAATAAAATGTTATTACCTCTTCGACTTTTACACGCTTGCTTTAACTATCTAATACTTCTTACTTTTCGCGGTATTGATCGCAAGTACATATACACGTTAGTGTATATTATGTAGTCATTGTACGGTACTACGATCGTACGAAGTTCGCTCGACGGATCTCTGGTGCGCTCGTACGCCACTCAATTCGTCAAAGATGTACATTCATCAACAATGCAACCAATTTTGTACATTATATGCTCGTACCTGGCAGTGGCCGAGCATTCATCGGGTTTTCGAAGTTGCCTGAAAAAAATAACGAAATGATAATCCAGATAATCCAGACTTCCAAAACTCACTTCAGACTACAAATTAGACTCGTTATTAGCGCATTACAGCGGCATGCATAGCGCTCGATGTTTTATACATTGCGACGATCAGACGACGCTTTACAAGATATTCGCGATTATACTTTTCGCGTTACCGAGATCCGTTTCAGTCGGCAAACGATCGCAAGAGATATCAGACGGTTATTCTGCCTGTATCCCATAACGCCCATAACAAGGCCGGTATTCATAGTCGATTCTTATATTTAAAACCATCTTAAGTGCAATCTTAAGATGTCATTAACCAATCACTGAGCCGTATTAGCATCTTAAGATATTACTTAAGACGGTCTTGAAATAAGATCTGATTATGAATACCGCCAGCCCAAGAATCGCAAGTTCGAGAATTCAAAACCTCGAGAATCGCAGGCGGCCGGCCAATCACAGCGTCCAGCCGCGCTCCTGTCGCCCTCACGTCGCTGCGTCGCTCCATCACCCGTCGCGAGTGTGTATACTCACTATACTCCTCGCAGTTCTCGCGACCTCGCGTCGAGGACGTCGAGGTCCGCGTCCGAAGCAATCAAGAATTTAACGCGAGGGAAGTAGAGAAGTCGTTTGAATCAGATCCCCGATCTGCTGTGACAAATACAAAGGCCGAAAATATAAATTCCAAGTTACATGACTAAGGTAAATAAATCTCTGTTATTGCAGCCCTTGGAAATCCAAATAATAATTTGGATAAATAATTATTTATCTGTCAACTTTGAAGCTGTCGCTGTTGCCTCCGCGTGTTTGGCAGTTTGCCTGGACCTGGATATGTGATCGTTGACAAAGCGTTGGTGGTGCGGATAAACGTGAAGGAGGGTATACAGATTTCCGGAGTACTTACCCTCTCGAGAAAGAGAGGTAGAAATTGGGAAGAAAATTGGAACTCGAGGCATCTCCGGAGATGCCAGGGAACATGGAAATTGCTGCGTTGCTGGTGCTGCTCGTCACAGAACTGACCCTCGGGGACACAGTTGACAGTATGTTAAATCGCAAGGATCCCTGCACCAGTCTGTGCGAGAAGACACCTATCGGTTTTCCAAATGTACATGTGTTAGCTTTGTGTAATCCTGAATTCTATGTGTGTGAATATACATACTTATCCTCATATATACTGTATGTATATACATACGTACACATCCACTTTTGTATCCTACATTTGTTTGTATGATCAATTGTTTTGTTTTAGAGCATGTACGTAAAGTCCTGCTGTCAACGAGGCTGCAGGTTCTTCAATCTAGTCGACTTGCGTTACGGATGGGAGCAAAACAGCTTGAATGGCACCAGGAGTGCCTGCGAGGCTTGTATGCGACATCTATAATTATGTTATATTTTTTAAGAGATTATACAAAGTATTTGGCTTCGATTTTTAAAGATTTTTTTACAATATTTTTTTATATTTATATATATTCAGAGGAATTTATATTCTTCCTCTATGAAATTCTTTCTG